TTTGGTAAACCAGGTCTCTTCTTCTGTTCTAAAATTCTGTTCTTTGTTTGCTGTGCTTACATTTCTACACTTTGCTAAAATGTGTAGTTTATTAGATATGGCAGTCATTATTAATTGATATACTTTTCCTATGTCTATATAACTCACTAAATATCTTTTTTCTAGGAACTTCAAAAAACAAAGTGAACCACCAAAGCTATATATCTGAGGTGGGAAACTGGACCAGCTTATAGTTTGAGTTTAATATTGTTCTCTCTAGGCCTATATACTAACTACTTACTTGCCAGCTCATATGATGGTGAAAGATGAATGTATCATAAACTTTAAAGATTCATCATTGGAGTTATCCACTTGTGAATTCATAGATGGATAGAGTATTAGGAATTAGGGAAGGGCTGAAGAAAAAGGATCATGGGTGCCTGACTTTGATTGGTATGCCTTTTTCAAGGTCCCTTCTGGCTCTTTTTCTGAATCACAGATGCCATGGGAGGAGCAGCTCTGCCTCATTAGAGGATCTTCATCTTAAGTTGCCAAAGCAGTAAAATGTGTGGGAGACCAAGAGTGACTCAGTTTCCATTGGGAGTCTATTCTGACTTATAAGACATTACATTTCAAGCTGGCTTGTTTCAGTCTCCTTGAGAGCCCTGAGACAGTTCTGATAAAGCCCATGGGAAATAGCATATTTTCTAACTAATAAGCTTCTGATGCCAGCCAAAAGTCACATTGTAGTGATATCTTTTTTGTACAAATAAAGCTTGTCTGAGGGTCAGAGAAGGAGCAATCTGCAGCCACATCTTACCTCCTTATCATCTCATCAGACAAGAGAGTGAGTTCCTGTTTAACCCTGCTTATATCCTATTTCTGCCCAGCTACCTCAGTTCCTGTCTTTGTGTACAGCACTCCAGAAATCTATGGTTAGATAAATGTGATGATATCTTGTTTATACAAATAATACCTGTCTGAGGGTCAGATAATGGAGCTTGCCATGGCCACACATTACCTCCTTAATGTCTCAGCAGACAAGAGAGTGTCTTCCTATTTCTACCTACTTATATCCTGTTTCTATGCAGCTATCTCACTTCCTGTCCATCGAACAGACCTCCAGATATCTATGGTTAGCTAGTGGCAAGCCCCAAGTAAAAGTAGGAAGAAATGAGCACTGCTGGGCTGGTGATGGAGAGGAGTGTAAAGGCCACTTGTGTTTTATATGCTGAACATTAAACCAAAGTGAAACTTTCTATTGGAACTAGATTGGGTCTGGATAAAGAGATTCCATTTAGAGTTATTGACCTAATAAGTAAGGATGATTATGATGACAAATAATGATGATAATGATGATCATAAAGCTTAATTATTACCAAATGCTTCAAAAAGACAGGAAAATAAAACACATAAAGAGAAAACTGACCAACAAGAAATTATTTTCCATTTAATACTTTTAAGAAGATTTTTTACTATTATTCATAAATAAGCATATTTTTACATAAAAAAACATGACTCAGGGCCCATGTTTTATCAACAGATATAATTCAACTTAATTGTTTATACCAAGGAAATGCATCTAAGTTTTCATGTCATTCAAGAATAAGTTTGTCTTTTGACAACTCCTCACAGGGATCAATTAGCTCCATCTGTGTCTGATGTTTTTACTAGATGTGGTGGGGGAATATTCCATCTACACTGTGTAAAGATGTGTCACTGTGATTGGTTTAATACAGGAAGAGGTGAGGTGGGAACTCTTTGGACAGATAAGTCTCAATGAAGAAGAAAGTCAGAGTTGCCTGACAGATGCAGAAGAAGCAGGATGTGTAGAAAAAGAAATAAAACCCATTAGCCACCTGGCAGCCTCTAAACTAATACAAACAGGATACTTTAAGTTTTAAGAGCTAGGTAGAAACAAGCCTAAGCTAAGGCTGACCTTTCATAATTAATAATAAGTCTCGGAATCATGATTTGGGGGCTGGTGGCATAAAAAAGTCTGCTTCAGGATGTGAAGAGGGAAGGATTGTGATTGATTGAGTGTAACATTTCAAAATTCATATACTTATGTACTGGAGCGATGGCTCAGCTCATAAGTGTGCTTGTTTCACAAGCCAGAGAACCTGAGCTGAGATCCCATCATCCATTTGGCATAAATAAACAAAGGGCAAAATAAAAGCAACAGCAAAAAATTAAAACAGGTATGGCAATACATATCCACAACCCCAACTCTTTACAAGTTGAAGACAGTATGACCAATCAGACATGCTGCCACTGAGAAATTGCATCTCAGAAACTAAGGCAGACAGTAATGGGGAGATTCCTTGGCATCTTTCTCTTGACTCTGCATGTTCACATACACTCATGCATACACACATACATGTGCATGTGTGTGTGCTTATACATACCACACACACACACACACACACACACACACACACACACACATCACATCTGTACACACACACATTTATAGGTCAAAATATTTTACTGAATGTAAAGGTATGGAATTAGGAGATGAAGCCTGGGGGGAAGAAATAATGAATCTGGGTGACATCTTTAAAACAGAGATTACTATCCTTCTTTAATATTTATTTATTGAATGCCTATGTGTGCATGCCCATTCTCATTTTGTCTGCCTTGTATGAACAGAGTCTGAGGATGCCACAGAATGTATTGGAGTCTGTGGAAATAGAGTTTCAGGTTCTTGAGAGCCACCAGTTTGGGAAAAGAACACAGGTACTCTGGAAGAGATGCCTCTGCTCTAAACTGCTGAGTCATTTCTCCAGCCTGCTAGCTGATGTTTTTAAAGGACTTCAGGGAAGCTGCTCCTTACACTGTTCTATGAATACAAGAAGATCACCTGGCAGATGGGGATGGGGACATTACAAAGATGTAGCATCTACTATCACTTTGCTTGTGAAATTGAAATTTTCCTGACTGTGGCATGGAAATGTTCCTTGCTCCAAATGTTATAGGGCTCTGTCATAGAGAACTGAAATGGTAAGAATGCAAACTGTTACTAAGTGACAGGTGCCTTTGTAACAAATCCCTAGCCGAAAGATATCCAGGGTCTTGAAGGAGTTTTTAATTTCTATAATATATAGACATTTAGAGTGATTCTGAGAAGTGGTCAGATGGAAGAGAAAAAAAATGGTTCACTTTAGAACAAGGTTCTATCTTTATTGAGATTATCCAGTGACCTTGAATACTGTCTTGGTAGAACACAAACGATAAAGCAAATCTGATAACTCATTAGAGATAAATAAGAAACAAATTATTGAAGAAGCCATGAATATGAAGGAGATGAGCTAACCATACACGGGAGTGTTGGAAAGACAAAGAGAAAGGACAAATGTAACTAACATGTATTTTCAACAAAATGTTCCAGAAATAATAATTTCTGTTAGAGAAAAGCTTTAGAATACTATTCCATGGGTGACATTAAAAAAGGGAGAAAAGAAGGAAAGGAGGAAGGGGGAGGCAGGCAGACACACATATTATTTGACATGTTAGCGGTCCCAATACAAGTGAAGAGAATTTTGAAGAGTGCTTTTCAGGTCACAATGTTCTTCTACAAAAAGCTTCAATTTTGAAGATACAAAAATTGGTGTTTATCTGAGATTTAATAAGAACAACATTATTATGAATTAGAGTGGAATCTATGTTTATACAAACATATAAAAGGAGACAAATTAATTTAGGATGGGATAGTTAAGCAAAGTGATATCAGAATATAAAATGTTAAATACTTCAACCTTTGAATATTTCAAAGAAAGAACTATTACAAAATGAATTTCAGAAGAATCTATGAGAGATATTCTTTTGATCACATACAAAATAAGTTTGTTTGGGAATGAACAAAGGGTTTTATTCATCATGTCTATCAGAAAGCAATGATGAGGAATAATCACTCCCTGCTGTGATTAATGAAAACAAAGAAATGTGAAAAATTCAGGAAGACTTCCAGACTACTTAAACAGGAGGAGATCACTGAATTATTTACTCAAATGCATATGCTTTTCTTGAAGAAGGAACGCAAACATAATTCAACTTCATGATATGCAGGAGGCATGTCTACTTGTGAAATGGTTCCAGTGTGTGGACAAAGCCAAGAAAAACACAGAGCTGGGAAGTTCAATTCTATTCTACAGTTGTCACCTATGTACATAGGTGGTGTTGACACAGAAAGCCACACAGTAGACACTAGTTTTGCAGTGGTATGAGTTATGTATCATTCCAATTGATCTAGAAGATTCCAGACTCAGCAGATCTGTAAAATGAAGAAGCCCTGCTTTGGAGGATTGTCATTCCTAAGAAATCTTCAAACCGTGTGAACTTTCTCCTGCTAGCATTTGGAATTATACAGTAAACACTGATAAGTCCTTCTCTTTTCATATATGGAATTGAATATCTGGTCCATCCATAACAGGACACATATTGTCAAATTCCATAACTTCCTTAGTTTCAAAGACAAAAAGTTAGAGACGAACTTGCTAGATTGGATCTAATCAGGACCCACTCCTATGTCCTGTTTAGCAGGCATTTATAAGAGACATTGTATGTCTGACTCTTGAGTTGGAAACGGAATCATTTAAGAGTTTGGGTGATGTTTATTTGGAATGACTATGTTTGGTGTGTGAAAAGGTAAATAAGGTTGTTGATCCAGATTACAATGTTAAGGGTAGGAAATTTGTGTCGCCTTCCCTAAGTGATTCATGTCTTGAAATTCTCCCACCACTAATCTTGTGAATAATTTTAAGTTGTTTTGCTTAGTCCCTTTTATAAAAAAAAGTGATTCATCAGTTTCATTTTGTATTGTATTGTAGGGACTTGTGCTAATTGTTTATAATGAATTTTTATGGCAATACCTCCATCATTACACTCATAAGAATTCATTAAATTTTGTGGCATATGATCTACTACTCCTTGGTGGCACTTTCAATAATTGAGTTTGTTTTCTCCTATTGATTTAGTTAAGTTTTGTTTGTCTAATGCATGTTAAAAATTGGTATTCTTACCTGACAGCACTATTGCCCACATCTAGGTCTTGGGCTGTGACAGCCCCGATGATTGTCCCCACAGGAGTGTCTTCATACACCTCCATGGTGTAAAGTGGCTTACTGAACACTGGTGGCTCATCCACATCCAGCACGCTGATTTTTACTGTAGCAGTGTCTTTAAAGGGGCCAGCAGAGTGAAATCGGTGGTCAAGGTGGAGGTTAGAGGCCTCTACTTTGAAGGTATATGCCTTCTTCGTTTCAAAATCCAAAGGCTGTTATAAGGACAAAATGAGGAATTGAATTTATATAGATCTGGGCAGAACTGATGAACACTGTTCCTAAGCAATCTCCCAGCTGCTACTCCCAAATAATTACACATTTCATCCTTTCTTATTGATAAACACGGGCAGAAGAAGCACAGGCAAATATTTCAGAATATTAAAGATCAAAGGGACCTGTATGTAGACTATAATGTTAATTACCTAAATAACACAGAATTGACAAAGTCTTCATGTGCACATCAAGAGGACAGGACAACTCAAGTTTCTCCTAAGCAATGTGAAAATAGTAAAGTAAATGCTATTTTGCTTCAATCCAATACTGACATCTACTGGACAAAAGTAAAGATTGGAAAAATAGAGGAACAAAGAAATTGGATTGCCTGATTATGTAGATTCCAAGTGCACATAGAATGCCAGATATTAGCTTTTCTTATTTTTCCTCTGGTATAGTTTTCTGTTAAATGCCTGGAATGCGCAGGTATTTTATTAGCAACAAACTATGAAAATTTAAAGTAAATACAATGGTAACTATAGTTGGTTGCAGTCACAGAATTATATATAAAATCAGTGTGTGCTGGAATGCATAGTCAGAACATATCACCAAGAACTATAACCTCAAACATATTGTTAAGTTGTGGATGACCTTGAACATGACAAAGGAAGTAATTTGTGCACATTCAGGTACTCAGTTTACATTGTTCCCAATTCCACATATCAGTTCTTTCATATCTATATCTCTATAAACATTGAAGTCTAGTACTACTGTGTCACTGGGACACTTTTTGAGAAGAGTGACAGTGGACACAGAATTCCATTATGTGACTTAGGTTGACCCTGAACTGATAACCCTCCTGCCTTGGCTTCCCTACTGCTGTGATCACAAGTAGGATTTATCACACTCATCTTCATGTTTAAGCCAGGTTTGTGACACACAGTAACAAACCAAGAGCTTGGAAGCCTGAAGCAAGTTGATCTACTGTTCAAAAGCAGTATCAGCTGCACAGTATAGTCCTGCCAAGCCAAAGGGGCAACAATTTCCCTAGTAAAAGTGACAAATATTACTCATATTCAGGAGAAAGGAAACTGCTACAATTATGAGACTGTTTAGCTTGGAAAAATTCGTACAAGAAAAGATAGACAATTTAAATTCTTAATGATGTAATTATAATTTTTAGAGAGGAAGTTTCACAACTTCCTTTTTATAGGATGTGTGGCTAGTGGTATATTATGTCACAAACACTGATTTTAATTTGTATGTTTTTCCAGAAAGCAAGTTGCATCTCCATCACTCATGCTTGCTTCATTACTGCTTTCAGATTCAGCTGTTGTCCTAGGATGTAGGTATGTGTGTCACAACTCTTCACCCCCCCCACCCGCTTTCTCTTACATACTCAAATGTCTATATTTGTACAATCAGGAAAACTTCTTCCAGATAAGCCTTAATTTATTTTTATCTGAATACGCATTGTACCTATCTGAAAGAACTCGGCTCCCTACTGCTATGTAAAATCCAAGACAAAGAGAGGAGAGTGGACTTCTAAATTCCTTTCCCTTTTCTAATATTCATTACTTTAAAAGACAGGCTAGTCTATTTCTTTTCAGAACTCCTCCCGTAACAAAGCAGGCAAAACTTCCGTGGTTGAGGATAGATAGATAGATAGATAGATAGATAGATAGATAGATAGATAGATAGATAGATCGATAGAGAGATAGGAAACAATCTGCTTATACCTATAGATTTGCATTACCACTAAATACCTACATCCTGCCATGATCAGAGCCCTGAAGAGAAAACTTGAAGAGAAACAACACAGTAACACCCTAGCCAGAGTTCATCCTTCAAGGACCTGATCCTTAAAAACCACTCCTTACAAAAGGCTTCAAATCAGTAAGAACAGAGCGAATCAGCTGTCATCCCATGCTTGCATTTACCCTCTTACTCTTCGTACCACAATCTTTATTTGGGGGGAATGGACTTAATTTGCTAGTGATAACAATAAAGTTCTAGCATTTCAAAGAAATATAGATTAACAAAGATTTGTTTAGACACTTAGAAAATGAACTATATGTGATGAAATTTTGTTGTGAAGTTGAGTGGACTTAATTCTTGCACAATAAATAAAAAATAAAAACAAAACCTTCCAACACTACTCACAGTGCATTAAATCTTAAGAATGTTTATAAAAGGCTAAGGAAATTATGATGAAAGCAAATTTTGGATGAGGACATACATCCTCCTTGACTAGAAATAAGTCACTTAGAGCCAGATTTTGGGGGGTGGGGGTGGGAAATCACATCTTAGGAAGCTATGCAATAAGAGATCACCATCTTAGTGAAATGGAATATTGCAGACGGAGTTCTTTTTCTGCTTGGTCCTGCAGCCTTTCAGTTCCAAACAAACACAGTGATGCTTATATTAACAATAAACTGTTTGTCTTGGTGGCTCAGGCTTCTCATTGGCTAGCTGTCTCTTATTTATTAACTGATTCTTTTTAATCTAAGTATTTCCACATGGCCTTATCTTACTGGAGAATGTCTGGACCTGTTACTCCATTTCTGGTAGCCTCACCTATGCTTCCTGCCTTTCTTCTGGACAATCAGTGTTTTATTCATCAAACAATATGAGAAAATATATACAGAAGAACATCCCACACCAGGATATCTATGTTTAATACCTCCCTAAATAAAAAAGAAGGATAAATCTGGGTGGTGGTAGCACATGACTTTAATCCCAGCAATCAGGAGCCAAAGGTAGGTGGATCTGTAACTTTGGAGCCATCCTGGTCTACAGCCAGGGCCACAAAGAGAAACTAAAAAGATAGATAGATAGATAGATAGATAGATAGATAGATAGATAGATAGATAGATAGATAATTTGGCAAGCTATATTATTATAGTGAATTTCTCCTTCTACATTGTTGTTATTCCAATTCTATGGAGAGTATTATGTGCAGATATTTTTCTCACTTCAGTGAATGTGAAAATTGTTAACGTGTTCAGGTGAGTCACTCTCCTGGGGTTTCTAGAGTTCCAATTTCTACATAATATTATGTAGAAATTAATGGATTTCATTACTGACTTTTTGGTGAATTTGAAAATCAATATTCCCAGCAAAAAGAACTCATAGCTGCCTCCATTATGTTATTATGGTCTTGGTCATCATCAACAACATTATTATTACTTTATCTCCAAGGACAACCTACATTTGTGTGAATTTAATAGCATGTCAACCAACAAGGTATTGAGCTTTAAAGAAAAACAAATTATACAAATATAAGTAAGGTCCTTAATCATTTGACATCTGAGTGAAAAAATGACCTAATTTGGTGAGGTTTTTAAAGAAACTGAAGACGATAGTATGGGGTTATCTTGTAAGAGGATATTTATGAAAACACAGGGATTCATATAGCCAGTGACAAAGGTATAGAAAACAAATATGATTACAGACAAAATAATTATTTACCCCAAAATAAATCTCAACAACTAAACCACAAAAAAATAAAATCTTCTGACATAGTAAACATGGCACCAATGCCCACCATAATTCCATTTGAGTGGTGCTGAATAAGGGATACAGTCACAAAAATTCTGAACAACAATAACTGGTGTTTGCCCACCTTCACATACTCTTTTCCTCTTGCTTCAGATTTTATGATGAACATGCATCATTTTCATCAACACAATAAAGCAATCACTCTCACAAAAATACCTCCCGCTTTAAAATGACTCTGCTTTGCAGAATCGAGCAAGTCTCAATAGTCATTAGAGTGTCCCAAATTTCAAGAAACACAGGAAAGTTGTCATTATCTGAAATATAACAGATCATTTGTGGAAAAAGAATTGGAAACAGATTTATAAGGGTCTAAAGCAGGACAGAAAGACATTGGGAACATAATTTTGTAGAGTAAGCTTACTACTCTGCCTGGACAATAAAGATAAGGCTTTCAGACAGTGGTTAGCTTTTAAAAGAATCACAGTTTCAAAGACTTAGTTTCATGATTAGTAATCTCATTTTCTGTCTGGAAAGAGGTGTAAGAGACTGTGCATGTTTCATAATCAGTGTGGAAGGACTCAAATCAATGTTTCAATAGAATGTGATCAAGGACTTGGTAAAACAAAGATGTTACTGTATCAGGAAAGAATGTCCCTGCAAGAAAAAAAAGACTGAAACTTGAATATTTGAAGTATGATTCTTCCTTTGAACAAAATTTACATGTTTTTCAGCATAATACATATGTGCTTATGATAGATAAAAAGTACAGAAAAATATACGTATATATATATGCATATATGTAAAATATACACAAAAATTTCAGGCAAAATATTTTCTTTCCATTTTTATTTAAGTTAGAAACAAGGTAATTTTACATGTCAATCCCAGTTCCCTCTGCCTCCCCTCCTCCCCTATTCCCCGCAACTAATACCTTACCTATCCTATACCCTTTGTGCTCCCCAGTGAGATTGAGGGCTTCCATAAGGGGTCTTCAGAGTCTGTCATGTCCTTTGAGATAGGGCATAGGCCCACCTCCTTATGTCTAGGCTCAGTGAGTATCCCTCCATGTGGAATGGGCTCCCAAAGACAATTCCTGTGCTAGGGATAAATACTATTCTACTCCAAAGGCCCTGTATATTTCCGAGGTCTCCTCACTGACACCCAGTTTCATGGCGTCTGGATCAGTCCCATGCTGGTTTCCCAGCTATTGGTCTGAGAAGCAAGAGTTCCACTTTGTTAAGGTCAGCTGATTCTGTGGGTTTCACCAGCCTGGTCTTGACCCCTATGCTCATCACTCCTCCTCTGCACCTGGATTCCAGTTCACTGTCTGTCTGTGGGTGCCTTCTTCCACTTCCACCAGCTGCTGGGTGAAGGCTATAGGATGGCATATAAGTCAGTCATCAATCACATTATCAGTGGAGGGCATTTAAGGTAGCCTCTACTCTGTTGCATAGATTGTTAGGGGATGTCATCATTGTAGATCTACACACATTTCTCT